ATTAACAAAAAACGACAAATGCATAAAAAAAAAAAAAAAAAAAAAAAAAAAAAATCCATCATCGATTGACATGATTCCATCATCTGTCTTGTTAGATTCAATTCAGTTCAGTTCAATCCATCCATTCGTCCATCTATCCATCAGGGAATCAATCAATCACTCAATCACTCACTCAATCAATCATACACCTCAAGCGCCCACCTACCTACCCACCCACCCATCCACCCATCCATATCTTCGCCCAAATCAAGAAAACGAAAAGACGAAACAACAAACAACAAAAACGCCCAATCCCCATTACCACACCACCACACCACCCCCCATCACAACAGCTCCGGCTCGCCCTCCAAATCATCCGTTCCCCCACCACCACCCAACTCATCGTCCTCGTCATCCCACTCAACCGCGCCTGCCACCTCCTCCGCCCGCCTCTGCACCTCCGCCAACCCACTCACCTCCTCGACGAACCCCCGTTCACCAAGCGCGCGCTTCACAAACGCCCACCCCTCACTCTTGTACCTGTCCACAATGCGGTCGCTGCAAGCGCTGCAGCAGTCGTACGGCTGGCCCCGGATCGACAGCAGGCTGAACGTCGACATGAACATGCGCAGCTGGTGCGGGATGAGGCCGAGCGGGTGCTTGAACGGCGAGGGCGCGTTGGTCGAGGCCACGGGCACGGGCGTCGCCGACGCCGCTATGCTCGCCTCCGTCGCGCCTTTGCTGCGCAGGCTCCCCGGGCCCGGGTTGCTCGGGTCCGCTGTCGCGGTGCTGGGGCTCGGGGCCGGCGCGTGCGCGCGCAGCGGGTGCTGCAGGCAGCTGACCAGGAGCTCGACGAGGAGGCCCGACGCGATGGGCGCCACGGCGGGGCGCGTCACCGTGCACTGCTGGTCGAGGGTGATGTCTTTGAGGGACTGCGGGAAGGGAGGGTTCTGTTAGTCAATCTGGCTGGTTATGCATGGGGAAGACGGGAACGGCGACTTACGTCGGCTGGCGCAACCACGTCGTTGCAGAAGTAGCAGCCCATTTCCTCCTCGCCGGGCCCGCCGGGCTTCAGCCCATGCCGCATCACGACCAGCGAGTCGAAGCCCAGCGCCGCGTTCAGGACAATCTTGCCCGCGGCCTTGCCCATGACCGTCGGCAGCCACCTGCTCTCGCGCGTGTCCATCAGCAGGAAAATCGCGTCGTGGTCGTCAATCAGCTTCTTCAGTACTTCAAAGTCCTGGCGCGTCTTCTCTTCCTCCAGCACAGGGCTGCCGGCCATGGGCACCGACATGACGAAGCCGGTCGCGTCCATGCCCGGGTAGATTTCCTGCAGCACCTCGGCCGCGCGGTACGCCTTTTGCGCGCCGCCCTCGAGGCAGTCCTTGTGGTCAAACAGCGGCTGCCGCACCGGGTTCGAGTACTTGACGCGCCCGTTGTCGACAAACGTGATCTTGCGCACGCCCCAGCCCATCAGGTTGCGCGAGACGTAGGACCCGAGCGTCCCGGCGCCCAGCAGCAGACACTTGGTGTTCTTGATGACTTCGAGGTCCAGCGATGGCGCAATGCGCCACTTCATGAGCTTCAGGTTTAAGTCGACTGCATAGTCCGCCATGCGCGAAGGGTCCATGTAGGCCGAGAGGTCGATCAGGCGGCTGGTCAGCTTACCGGCCTCGTTGCGCTCCCACCCGGTGACCTTGGGCATCTTGGGGGTGCGCGGGCGGGGAGAAGTGCCGGCGGCGCTCAGCGAAGTGTCGATCTCGACGGTAGCCGGCTGCGGGCACTGAAGGTTTAGGATAATGCTCTGGGCGCGGTCGCGGCCGCGGTGGGTGTCACGGTAGCAAAGAATCTGGACGTCGTTCAACCTCCAGCGCTGGCGGATCAGTACGAGCAGGTTGCGCAGCATCCAGCCGGGATTCGACTGGTACGTCGACGGGTCGGCGAAGCCCACGAAGCGGTCCTGCAAGTCGGTGTCGTTGAAGAAGCCCTGTTCGTACGCACCGAGCGCGCCGACAGCCCACGCGTAGCCGTACTCGTCCATGGCACCGGGGGTCTGGGGAGACTTGGGCCGCTCGTCCTCTCCCTCCTCGGTGGACAGATGCTGCTTGCGCACACGCTTGGCAAGGAAGAAGCCATGCTGGCGCGAGTCCACGCTGTACTTCCACGTCTGTACCGAGTCGACCAGGCCCGTCGTCTCCTTGTCGCTGAGCTTGAAGGAATCGCCGACGCGCTTCCAGGTGGGGTCCGAGTGGATGGCGGGGAAGCCGAAGTGGTAGGTGAACTTGTAGTTCTTCAGGTCGGCGTAGGAGATGACGGTGAAGGAGGAGAGCAACGAGGGGCAGGAGTAGATGGTGCCGTCGCAGATGGCGTCCCAGACCTGCGCGGGAGATTAGCGGACTCGGACGACGACGACGTCAACGGCGGGGGTTTGCGGGCTCACGATGCGGCCGGCGCGCTCGATGGCGGCGGAACGGTCAAAGTTGCGGTACTCCTCGATGGTGTTTACGTTCTTGATGATGCCGTCGGCGCGATAGTAGCCGGCCGGGGCCCTGCTTTGAACGACCTTGTCAACTATCTCCCGACCTCTCCTCGGGTTGCGCGTCGGGCGGACGGCAGAAGACTAACTCATCGCAGTGGAGGGCAGAGGCGAGAATCTGCATGCGACTGGAGCGCTCAGGCGCGTCCGTCGGGCGGACTTCGTACAAGCCCAGGATCTTGCGGGCCGAGTCGTCGAGCTTGTCATGGTTAAGCTTGATGTTGGCGAGGCTGGCGAAGAAGGGCAGCTCGATGTCCGAGGACCACGGCGCGAACTGGAGGGCGGCCATGGTGGGAGAAGGTGGAAGGGGAGAGAGAGAGGAAGCGAGCGAGGAAAGAGAGGGCGCGCGACTCGCAGACAGAGAGAGCATGTGGTGCGAGAGCTGCGAGGGTCAGATGCCCGGTGCGGCTCAGCCCGACGGCCGACGCGCCGACTGATGTAATGCGCGTGTGCCACAGTTGCCCCTCGCTTTGTGTGGGGGCCGCAGCCACCCGACGATGAGCCGGGTGAGATAAAAAAGGATAGCCGTATATATCAAATCTAAAATCTATCTACATATATAATTAATTATATATATATATAGCAGCAACATGTTGATCGGCCTGTGCGGCGGTAAGTCCATCTTTCCATATTCATCATCATCATCGTCATCACCACCTATCTACCTATCTGTCTTTCTCCAACCCAGTTAAGAAAAAAGAAAACACTCCACCACGTCCCCCTGTAAACAAACCCCCATAACAACCCTCACCAACTAGGCATCTGCGCCGGCAAAACCACCGTCGCAAACTACCTCATCGAAGAACACGGCTTCCAACGCCTCCACGTCAGCAGTCCAGAAAATGCAACAGCAGCAGAAGAAGAAGAAGCCTCCTCACCACCACCAACAAACCCCACCACGTCCACACACCCAGTGCAGACCTTCCCCACCATCGACGCCCTCCTAGAGCACGTAACGCAGCACTGGCGCACCCCCTTCGTAACGACCACGATCCCCACGCTCCCCGCCCTCGACGCGCTCCAACGCCGCCCCTTCTTCCTTCTCATCGGCATCGACGCGCCCATCTCCGCGCGCTGGACACGGCACCGCGCGCGCTGCCTCGCAGCCTCTCTCCCCGCGCCCACGCTCGAGGCCTTCGTGCTCGCCAGCGACGCCCACGCCTACCGCGGCCCCGCCCACCCCGCCGCCCTGCTCCACCGCGCCCAGCTGCGCGTCCTGAACGCGGGCTCCTCGCTGCCGGCGCTGCGGGCCAGCTTGGCCGCGCTGGACCTGCCGAGCCATGAGCGCCTGCGCCCCGGCTGGGACACCTATTTCATGTTGTTGGCGGGCCTGGCTGCCCAGCGCAGCAACTGCATGAAGCGCCGCGTCGGGTGCGTGCTGGTGCGCGAGCGCCGCGTCGTCAGCACGGGGTACAACGGCACGCCGCGCAACATGCGCAACTGCAACGAGGGCGGGTGTGAGTCTCCCTTCCAACCCCATCTTCAATTCAATCCACTTCTTAAACGCACGCGCACGACTAACACCCCCGCCCACACACAGGTCCCCGCTGCAACGCCGCCCACCCCGGCGGCTCCCAACTCCACACCTGCCTCTGCATCCACGCCGAGGAAAACGCGCTCCTCGAAGCCGGGCGCGAGCGCATCCGCGCCGGCTGCATCCTCTACTGCGACACGTGCCCGTGCCTGACCTGCAGCATCAAGATCACGCAGGTCGGCATTGCCGAGGTCGTCTACCGCCACGCGTACAGCATGGACGAGGCGGCCGCCGCCGTCTTTCGCGAGGGCGGCGTCGTGCTGCGCCAGTTTGTGCCGCCGCAGGAGGGGCTCGTGGAGGTGGGCGGTGCGGGGGAGGGGGAGGACGAGGATGGGGTGGATGTGCGTGCGCTGGCTAAGGATCTGAGCGTTAGGTCGAATACGACGTGAGAGGGAGACGAGAAAAAGCAAAGCTAGATAGATGCATAAACAGATACACATCATATGCCAGGCCCACCTTTGTCGGCACCAGACAATAGGACCTGGACCAACACACATGTCCTCTTTTTCCTTCCCTTCCTTGATGCAAAAGACAAAACAGCAACCCCAGTCCCAATGCCAACCCCGCAACCAAAACTCAACAATAGAGAAACCCAAAAACGAGATGCCTGAAGGTGAAAAAAAGCGGGCGCGCATCGACCCAAGACTGCATTCAACCGCTCGCGATTACTATTATTACCCAAGACGCCTCCTATCCATCCAACCAGCCATCCATCCATTTCTTTCTTTATCAACGGCGGCCCGCGCCGCCCCTCTCACCCTCACCCTCACACGCCTAGCACGCCGTTAGCCACCCGCGCGCCCTGCCCCTTGAGGTGCGCGCTGCTGCCGCGGAACAGGCTTTGCCAGATAAACGCCTCGCTGAGCAGGAGCTCAATGTCCTTTTCCGTCCAGTTGCGCGTCGGCAGCGACTGCAGAAACATCATAATCTCCTGAAAGTCCATCTTGACCAGCTGCTCCGACCACTTGACCAGAAACGCCGCGCATACGTAAAGATGGAAGTCGGAAAACCCGCGCTCTTCGGCCTGTGCGCACCGTTTGTTAGCTTGCTGCTAGTTTGTGCCTCTAAGGGCTTGCGTGCCACGCGGCGGTGGCGGCGCAGCCCACCCCCGCGCTCGCGTACATACCAGGTACGTGTCCCACATCCGGATCGTGTTCTTCACGCTGATCTCCCGCATCAGCAAGCAGTTCATCCACCGGAAGCTGAACTGGATGAACTCGACGCCCTCCCTAGCCAAATGCTGTGCCAATCCCTTGTCGATCCGCGTGGTCAAATCCCGCAAGCTCGCCACCTGTCTCTGAATTCCCGGCTGCGCAAAAATATAATTGTCTTGGATGCCATCCAGCAGCTTCGTCAGACACCAGAAAGAATCCGCCTCGACCGCGTCCAAGACCGGCTTGGGGAGCTGGCCAGGATCCATCCCCGATTCAATGTCCGGATCCGTGATGTACATTCCAAGGAAAACCTGCCAAAATGGCGTGACTAGATCGTTGATTCCTTGCACGTAGCCGCTTGCCGGATGTCGTATAGCCCATACATATAGTATACGTTCCAATGACCGCTGCGTGGCTTCGTAACTGTACAGCTCCAGGTGCGGATTCGTGCGCGGCACGTCAATGCTGATCTGATGCCAAATCGCCTCGTCCAGGCCGCGTCCACGATTCCTGCTCGTAGCCTGCGCGGGCGGCACGCCCATCTCGTTGCCGACGTTGGAGCGCTCGAACGCTTGTCGCACCCCCTCCAAGTATTCTCGCCGTTTTCGCTCTAGCGTCGCGACGCGTCGCTCGCTACTGGTGGGGAGATAACCCAGGAGGATCTGCCAGGACATTGCGCGTACCTCTTGGGGAAGGCCCGACCAGGCGCTGTTACGCAGCTCGGTGAGCGAGATGGTACTCGTCTGGAGGATGCGTTTGAACTTGTTGATGCGGCTTATTCGCGCCGAATGCGCCTCAATCTCCTTTTGCGATGCGTCTGGCGGAACCGTGGGGTAGACAATGAGATGCAATGCATTGGCAGGGTCCCGCAAGATCTCTTTGTACTGTGGCCGGAGTATCTTCCCAACAGTCGGCTTCGCGGTGGGGTAGAGAGGAATGGTGCTCCCGCTGCGCTCGTCGCCAATGTCGCCGCTGTCGATGCGCCATGGTTGTGACGAGCTGACGCCGCCAGCATCGTGCAGATGGCTGAGGCTGCCGGGGGTGCCTCCAGGGTCCTTGCCTTTGTTCAGCGGTTTCCGCTTGCCTTTGCGTCGCATGCTGGCAATGCTGGGCAATCCAAATTCGTCTTCTTCGTCATCCTCAAAGGTCAAGGCTTGGTCGTCATCATCATCGTCGTCGTCGTCGGCGCTTTGTTTGCTGGAACTCGAGAAGTATGAGAAGGGTCTGCGGCTGTTGGGCGAGCTGACGCTTCCCCCGCCTCGACCAGGAGGCGAGGTGTCGACGGGACTCGACTTTTTGTGCGGAGGAGTGCGCGGGCGGGCGGAATTCGACAGGGAGCTGGCGTGCATGGTGAGCAGAGATGAGGAGCAGGGTGGCGATGAAGGGTTGCTCACAGGGCATCGAACTTCAAGACGTCCGTGTGCGAGTATGACGCGCCAACCACCTTCTTGGAGTCGTAGCCTTTGGCAGCGCCAGAGCCGGACCGCCAGAATGGAGAGGCCGACCTGCGCGGCATGATTAGCGACATAGATTAAGATAGATTGAGAGAGGAGGAGGCGGGATACCCAGAACGGTCTGAAGTAGGTTCCAGGGCGAGAGTTAGCCAGATGATCTCCGTTGGCTGCTGCGGAAATGAACGAATGCTACGGACCGACCTGAACCATTTCCTTATGCGGCTTGCGTCAGCGGGCTCAACGTGCGACGAGGACGAGAGAGCGAGGCTACCTGCTGCTGCTGCTGCGGCTGGGGCTGGGGTTTTTTCTGGGCCATTGCGGCGATGCGGGAGGGCAGAGAGGCGATGCGAGATGCGAAGCCGAGTGACGAATGCTGAGACCAGAGCTCTCCCCATCCATGCATGCAGCGGGCCACCCAGCCAGGGCCGTGCGCGGCCTTTTGCCTTGCCAAGCCTGCGCCCTCCTCTTCGTCAGTGAACCATCGCACACTCCTCGTTCTCGTTCGTTCGCTCTTCCACCACCACCATCACCCCATCTTCCATCGCCCTGTCGCACGCTGCTACGCCCTCTCACCCCACGAAGCCCCGACTCGCTTGAAACACTCCTTCTCCTGCAGCCATGGCCGACCACGACGAGCTCGACGAGGATCTCTTTGCCGACCTGTGAGTTCCCGAATCCGATTCCTCTCGCTCCGACGACGACGACGACGACTGACTTTTTTTTTTCTTTTTTCCCTACCAGCTACGAGAATGACGACAGCAGTAACCCCAAGCCCGCCGCCCAAGCCGCTGCCCCTGCTGCCCCCGCGCAGCCCGAGCCGACGGCTGCGACAGAGCCCGTCTCGGCCCCCGCCCCGGTCGCAAGGGACGAGCAGCACCAGCCTGCCGCCCAGAATGGCGGAGCCCACTCCGCTCCGCACAACGGTGATGTACATATGAGTGGCAACGTCCAGAACGAGGCCGGCCACGCCCATGCTGCGCCCGAAACTAACGACGACAACTATGGGCCCATCGGCATCAAAGAGGATGGGTGAGTCTCATTTGATACATTAGTCTTCATAGTTTTCCCGTAGCGTGTTGTTTGGTGTGCTTCACGACAAGAGGTAAGGCGAGCGAAGCGCGTCGGTGTCCGAGTGCGGACAGCCACATTTCCACGGATTTAGCGATTCTTCAGGCCTTTTTTGAGGATGCCATGACGGCCGGGTTTCGTCTGCCGAAAGAGTTTGCGATCAGCATCGTTCAATGTTCATGAGTCTGCATCGACTTGACCGTCCGGCGAGCCGCCTAGGGCGGCGCCGTTGACAGCTGGGACTCGTTGGTTCAAGAATGCGAGAAGAAAGCATTGATCAGGCTTGGATGGAGCATATCGGGCAGAGATTCGAAAGGACTGCGCCCGCCAGCATAGGAGGCTGGCAGCTTTTTGATGCAGGATGCACTCCGTCCGTGGCGGGAATTGAAAGAAAAAAAGAAAGACACCCAGCGCGGATTGAGGGAGCCGCCAAGACTGGTATATACGCTTCAGACATCACCTCGAGCACATCTTCAGGCACAGCTTCAGCTCATGATTAGCTTCATGTCGAGATAATCTTCATAGAGCAGACCAGCGAGGGTTAGCTAGATGCGGTGCGGACCGTTAGCGAGGTCTGGCCTCATCCCTAGCAGTCGACTCCGTAGCAAAACACAGACGCTTCCTGCCGAACATCAGTGTGCTCTTGCGACGATTGGGTGTGGATGGCGGCGGCGCAGGCGTCTTTGTTCGACGACGTCTGGGTGCCAATTCGTTCGTTCTGCTCGCTTGGCACCAACTCGATCGACTACGCCGCCGCACACCCTGGCACACGACAAAGCCCTTTTGGACCTCCCCGGACACCGACTCGCTCGTCGCTCGCCGCTCGCCGCTCGCCCCTCACATCCTTTATGATCATGGGCATCGCAAATTGAAATGACGCGCCAACGTCGCTAACATGCACACAGGAAAATGTTCATCGGTGGCCTGAACTGGGAGACTACTGACCGTAAGTCACCCTTGGATCTACGCCTGTAACATTGCTAATCACACGCCACCCCAGAGTCCCTCAAGGAGTACTTTTCGCAGTTCGGTGAGGTTGCCGAATGCACCGTCATGCGCGATGGCGCTACCGGTCGTTCGCGTGGTTTCGGTTTCCTCACCTTCAAGGACCCCAAGACCGTCAACATTGTCATGGTCAAGGAGCACTACCTTGATGGTAAGATCGTAAGTCAATCTCGCTTGCAGGGTGGTCAGTTCTGGGAGATCATGTTTCTGACATAAGCACAGATTGACCCGAAGCGCGCCATTCCCCGTGAGGAGCAAGAGAGGACGAGTAAGATCTTCGTCGGCGGTGTCAGCCAGGAAGCCACCGAGCAAGACTTCAAGCAGTTTTTCATGCAGTTTGGTCGTGTCATCGATGCCACTCTTATGATGGACAAGGACACCGGTCGTCCCAGAGGTTTCGGTTTCGTCACGTTCGACGGCGATGCTGCAGTCGACGCCACCCTCCAAGGCCCTCTCGAGATTCTTGGCAAGCCCATTGAAGTGAAGCGTGCGCAACCCCGTGGAAACCTCAAGGATGGTGAGGACGACCGCGGCGGCAAGTTTGGCCGGCGCAACGACAAGTTTGGCAACCGGGGTGACAACTTTGACAACCAACAAAACCAGCAACAGGGTGCTGGTGGCATGCAAAACGGCATGAGCCCTGCGATGATGGCTCAGTACTGGCAGCGCATGCAGCAATATTTCGCCATGATGCAGCAGCAGATGTCCGCCAACATAAACCCCGGTGCCGCTCCCATGGCCAACCCTATGATGGGCGGACAGATGAACCCCGCCATGATGCAGCAGATGATGGCCATGCAGATGAACCGCGCCAACACCATGTCCCCGACCGGCAGCCCCGCTCCCGGCACTCCTATGCAAGGCGCCATGAACCCCGCCATGATGCAGCAAATGGCACAGCAACAGGGCCAGCAAGGCGGCATGGGCAGCCCAGGCTTCCAGCAGCCCGGCAACTTCCAGGGCAACGCCGGCGCCGCTGGCCCTGCGGCCATGATGGCCAACGCGAACCGACCCGGCTTCAACGCGCAGGAGCAACTCATGTTCGAACAGCAAAAGTATGAGCAGCAGCAGGCGCGCCGCATGCAGCAGGGCGCGTACGGCCAGACGGGCTACAACCAGGGCGGTCCCACCTCCTGGGAAGGCATGTACGACGATGTGCCGGCGCCCAACATGCCCGCAGCTGGAGGCGGCGCGCCGCGCGGCGGTAGCTTCAACAGGGGCGCCATGGGCCGCGGGGGAATGGCTCGCGGTGGTGGAGCCGGTACGCCTGCCGGCCCCGCTGGCCAGCCCAGCAACGCCCCGGCGAATGCGCCTACGGGCCCTAAGAATGCGGGCAAGCCTGGTGCGAACTACCGCGGTGGCGGACGCGGCGCACACAGAGGTTTCCATCCGTATGCGCGGAATGGTTGAGCGCTTCTGAACGTGCGGGCATTGGCGTCGGTGTAGTGGATCAGTTTTTGTTGCGCCTGGAGTCCTCTCACTCTTCCTCCTGCTTGCGCTGTCTAGTTGGCTCTGGCTGGTGCTCGGACTTTCTTGAAACTCCCTGCTACCACGCACCAGTTCTTGGCACCATCACAACCGACACTGAGAGGGATCACAAGCTCAGCTGGCCAGCCAGTCGCAGCGCGGCGGGCAGGCTGGCAGGATGGCCTGTTTATGGGCGTTTTTCTTGCACTCTACTGCCACTTTCTCATTTCCAATTTTCCCCTTTCCTCTCTGATCCGGGAGTTCGAGCTGCGATTTTCCTCACTTCTTTTCTCTAGCTGCTTGCTGGCTTTTGTGCTTACCTGCTTGCCACCATAAGGTGGCTTGCTGGTATCTACCATTGCGCCACGCACGCACTTCTATACACCAAAAAAGTAAGCTAGTTCATCAAGGGAGGGCGACGACGCAGTCAAACAAACAAAAAACAAACAGCCAGACAGACGACACGACGCGGCACAAAACCCCCCTTTTTCTTGCCCTTCTTCGGCGCGCTTCAGTCGTCCCGGATCCAATCCGTCGTAGTCAGCGGCGGCGGCCCTCTCCTCTTTCTTTTCTTTTTTGTGTTTCTTGCCTTTTACCAGTCAGTTGCCGGGGTTACTGCTGCTGCTGCTGCTGCTGCTTCTTCTTCTTCTCTTTCCTTTTTGGCTGCTTAGCTGGCTTGCTTGCTGTTGGGATCTTTTTTTGCACTGGCTTCCTGGCTTGCGTGCTTGATGGTTTACTGCTGCTGCTGCTGCTGCGTGGGGGGTCGCACGTGTATATTACGATCAGGAAAATCTCTCTCAATGACGTGGTGGCGTGGGAAATGAAATGGTGTGCGATTATGAATGAGCTTGGTACGTGGTGTGTGGTGTGCGGTGGTTGTGAGGCCTTTTGCTGTCGTGCGTTCCTTAATGAGTCTCAAATTATAGCACAACTAGGTAGGCTTACACTTATGGGAGTGATTGGAATGTGCCTTGCTGGCGCTGAAGTTGCCGAAATTTGTTTCGGATCGAAAGTTACTATAAAAGACAGCTGGGCTATGTGGGATTGGCGCTTTATGAAGTACCACTCAGAACAGAAATACGGACATCCTTCGACCACAATGGGGTTGCCCAGAACTTCAGTTTCCCGAACAAAGACGAACCGAATTCTGATTCTAGAGCCCAACTATCTGCAACCCATGTTCGATGCTAGAGGCCGTGATAATGGTCATCAGAAACGCGGCGGTTGGGCGGAGAATGTCTCCAATTGACGTCCTGGACTGTCGGTTTAGCACGTTTGAGTGGAGGTATGGGCAAAAGTGCCTAAGGGGCACTTGCCTTGCTTCGAAAAATGATGGAAGCATACGCTGCTCATTATTCTCCTAACACTGTCCTCTAACAATGCCGTGAACGCGTGCGAGGAGCGCGTGAGCCAGCCATCGAGACACACAGTGCAGCTGCCCATGCCACTTCTGTATCCTGACAAGAAGAAGCATATCTCACGAAGCCGTAGTCTGTTCTGTTTCGAAATTGGCTCTTAGTATGCGTTGGGATCACTTCGTGACTTCGTAACATTAAAAGCCGCATACAATTCTGGCTTTGTAGCCACTGCTGGAGGGGCTTGCTGAGCTGCTCTAATGCCAAGAGTAGTCACTTGTCGCATTGGCAGAGAAGATACAACCCGTATTTGAAACCGACGTTCAAGGCACCACAGCTTTGACTTTCTACGCCTGGCTCTTGCATTGGCCGGAGGGGCTCAGTACTAAGAGTCAATGGGTGCGCGCTGCTCGAGAACGTAGGAGCATAGGGATGGTCGCGCGCTGGTGTGCCGTGGAGCGCCAGCGTCGATGCTCTGGGCTGTGGTCGTGCGGGTGCATGTAAGGTTGTAAGATGGAAAACCAAGGTGGAAGAGCTGAGTCGTGGCTTTGGAGACTTTTCTTCTTCTAGTTTTTGATTCGGTTTGTCATATACCGTTTGGTACAGAAAAAGATGTAGCAAATGCGAGGAAGTGCGGGTTAAGCTGTTGTGCCGGGTAGCACAAGAGTGGTGGATCTTCGCAGATGCGCAAGGATAGAGGTCACCACAGTCAAAGGTCGTAGGGTTAGTGCTATCAAGGTGGTATTGGTATCTTTGATGCTACGTATGCTCTATCGCCTGAAATCAAGCATCCCTTTCAAGCTAAGAATAGCTGATTCTCGGGTCGGTCCATGGTCCACCGAGAACACAGCTAGTAATCATCTCTGATAGAGCCGCTTTGGCTCCCTTCTCTTTCGTCAACTTTTTTGCTTCTCCGTGGGAGCCATCAGTCGGCGCGTAATACACCCATACGGGCTATTCGTCGCCCAAGGTGAAGTCTGAATTCACCATTTGTCCCATGTGGATGTTCCATGCTTCTTTTCCTGGGAAAAAGAACCTGAGATAGGTGCGGTCGTTCATGTTGCGCGTAAATTTCAACGTCTCCAAATCCATGGTGTCCCGCAATACCTCGAAGATACTGGGCCAGTCCCCAAGACGAAGGTCGATGTACTGCAGCGTCAACACGCGTAGAGTATGCTTGTTGTTATCCAAAACTTTCAGTAGGTCCTTTGACGTTATCTCTACGTTGCTGATCTCGAGGTTGCGAAGAGCTTGTTGAGTAATAGCTGCTGTGATTCCTGATGTACAGATCTCTGGAATACTACACCATCCGCTCACGCTGCCAATTGCAAGGGTTTGGAGGATCTGGTGTAGCATGTAAAATATCCCATGCACGACGGTAAGAATTGGCATCATCAATGGTATATTCACCATAACCAACATCACCACCATCACTACCATCAATACCAAAATTACCAATTGGCTCTGCCAAAGAGTTAGTCGTATGTACCTCTAAAAATAATGTAGTGATCTTCGAACGAGATCATTACTTAGAAACTTACCTATAGGATCGAAACCTAGCCTTAGCTTGGACAAGCTCGCAAGAGACTGAGGGTCCGTGATGATGGTTTTGCTTGCCGTTTTGTTATCTTTGGGGCCAGTAGACTTTCCGGCCTTGATGATAAGATCCCTGAGTTTTGCACCCGAAGCTGCAATTGCCGAGAGTAGAGCTTCTGATTGCCAATGGGCAAGAGGTTTCATGACGCGCCAACTGGATATACGGCCCACTCTATCACCCCATTCGGAAACTGTGTCGAGACTAACAATGTCTAAGTTCTCGAATTTAGAGAGTGCCGAGGCCAGAAGACCGACATGTCTATCCATAGTTTGACAAAACAACGAGTCATACTGCGCATCTCGCAGGACTTTGATTCGATTTTCGATTTTCGTCATGTGTTTCTGGTCATCATAAGTCTCTTCGGCCAAGGTGTCGTTCAAGTCTTGTAGCTCGCCATGGTCGTAATAAACTGAGCGGAGGTAGATCGCTTGTACAGCGGGGGCGAAAATGCTCTGTGAGATGTTGGCCAGTTTTTCCAGACCCGAAAGAGTAAACAAGACGGTTAGTTTTCTGAAATGACTCTTCGCAAATGCAGGGAAGGATTTCGCAGCCATCGTGCGTGAAGTGAGCCGAAGTGAGCGGAAGGATTTCGGGCAGAGGTATTCAGCAGTCTCGCATATTAGCTCCTCCGGCAGTCCTTCGAGAGTGGGCACCGCCATGGTTGAAGGTGTGGCTTGTTGCCATCCACTAATGCAGAAGACGGCGTTTGTCAAAAATGTTGTTGTGGTCGGAAGGTAGGTGGTACAACCGAGGTTTACCACGTTTACTTGGGCTGGCGCGTCATTGTGTCGCTTATGTCATTCTGTGTGCTTTTTAACACGCTGTCCCCTTGCACATTCTTGAAAGGGAAAGAAAGAAACGCTAACCGAAAGAGGCAGCGTGGAAGCCCTGAGGATAGCCTATTGTCCCACCGTGGACGGTATCTACACTGCCGTGGTTCCGCGACTCAACGTCATGGCCAGCCTACTCACCAGGTCACTAATCTGGACGGACAAAGTTTTAAGACAATCGTTGGCACCAAAAAGAATACAAGTTCTATCAGCACAACTATATCTTCTCGGGACTCAAGGGTTTAATTTTGTACAAGAAGCAAGCATCCCTTCCGACCTTTCAGTACTCGAGCTTCGCTCACTGATGGCGAGTACTTCCATATACACTGCCGATAATCATATCAGTCAGTGCCTGTTTCATGCCTCTTTCTTCCACCAGTTGTTCGATTTCAGGTCCACCACGAATTGGCCGGTAGTCCACCAGCACAAACCCTTCGTCTTCCGGTGACTCGCTTTCTGTCATGCAGACGTTCCATTCCTCTTTGCCTGGGATATAGAAATTACGTGCGGAGTGTCTGTTCTTAAGCCGGTTGGTATTAAACCTCAGTTTCTCCAACTTCATAGTGTCCCGCATTGCTTCAAGGATACTAATCCACATTCCGTCGAGCACGACAAAGGACAGATGAACTTGTCGCAAAGTATGCTTCTGGGTGTCTAGGGTTTCCAACAGAGACTGTGCTGTTACTCGTGCACAGTGGAGGGTTAAGTCACGAAGACTACGTTGAGTGAGGGCCGGTGCCAGTGATGACGTGCAAGCACGAGGAAGTAGAGATGTCGTCATCCTGGAGCTTGCAACAACTAAGTTCTGAAGGGCTGGCGCTGCGTCTAGTATGGTCCGCATACGACGTAAAGAGCCAGAATCATTGCGATTCCAATCTGTCCGATGGTTAGCCATGCCTACAAAAACAACAAAAACAACCAGAATGGATCTTTTGAAGAACTGCAAACTAACCTGTGGTTGGGAGTATCAATACAAGCATATCAAGACTCGGGAAAGCTTCAAGGTTAGCTGGAAGGTCATTCTTTGGACCGATCGTGTCGTCCGCGCCAGAGTAACCTCCATCCCATATCAGGAGCTTTCGAGGCCTTGTACCAGAAGCCGTCATGGCCGACAGCGGAGTATGTACTTGCCAATGAGATAGAGGCTTGCTGGGTTTGTAATTTGCACCCATAGGCTGACGTAGGTCAACATTGGAGTTCACGTACAACTGAATCGCTTCTAGGTTTTTGAGGTTGCGGAGCGCCAAAGCTAGAAGATGGAGGTGATCATCACCGTTGTGTTTTTGTGAGATGTCGGATGCCACTTCTCGCAGGGCCTTAAGGCGACGGTGCATATGCAGGTGCGGCATTTTGTGGACTCCTTCGCCGTTCAAGGCTTGTTGTAATTGCTGTACCTCTTCATTGCTGTAGAAGACAGTAGAGAGCAAAACTGTCTTCACAGAAGGAGCAAAGGTGCTCCGTGGAATGCTGACCAGCTGCTCCAGTCGAAAGAGAGTAAACGTGATAGGCGCTTCTCTAAAGTGTTGTTTTGCGAAGATGTAGTTGAGTTTCGCAGCAATAGCGCGTGAAGTGAGGCGAAGTGAACAAAGGTCTTGCTTGTGGGATACCCAGGGCGTTGTTTCGTAACAGTAGTCCGCTTCGATTTGCTCAGCTATCTCACAGAGCACCTCCTCCGGCAGCCCTTCAAGGGTGGGCGTGGGCGCCGTCATGGTCGAGTGGATAGGTTGTTGCCAGCAATCAGTGCAGAAGATGTTGTTGGTCAAAAGTAGTGTTGTGGGTTGAAAGTTAGTGGTGCACTCGGGGCTGGCGGACATATCTTTTATACTGCGCTTATGTCATTCTGTGTGAAAAATGAGTGAATGAGACGGCGGCGCTAACCGAAAGGGACGGCGTGGTGGCCCTTAGGGTAGTGTAATGCACCAACCATTGCATACAGCACCCATGTAGCACTACTGCACTACCCAAGCTCTGCAAAAACCTGTCGATAATTGTTCTAAATCTAAACTACACCTTCTTACTTTGCAAAGTACCAAAAGGCATCTAATCTCGACACGACGAAGTCCTCTATCCCGCGCTTCTGGCACTCGCCTCTGCGGAAACAGCCATGCCCAAACAGTGGCCCTTGTACAAAATGTATACGAACAAGAGCTCCTATCGCAAGTTGTCAAAAGGCTCGAACACCCACACTTACCGAGACTAGAGCACCCGCAAACGCGTACACTGACGCGGCCTACTCTACAGGAACCTAGAAACAATGCTCTTGTCGCAAAGCCATAGGCACCAGCACCAGTTCATGCCAGATTCTCAAGAAAACCAAGACAGCTTTGATAACAAGGCAATGAATGCCCTTTGTCTCGCCCACTCCGCGTACTCCTGAACTATTTCCCAACAACTTGCCAATTTGAACGCCTTGGCCAGCTTGTCCTCCCTTGCCCCCGCACACCGGGTTGCTCATCCGGCTGAGTTTTTCAAGACATTATTGACATCAAAGGAAATACAAGTTCTACAGCGCTGCCAAATCTATCAACAAGGGGTTCGACTTTGATCTTAAAAATCGTCATTCATCACAAGAACATCCCACCGTTCTTTGTAATGGATGATGTACAACTACCAAAGTTCTGAGGAGAACACTTATTTCGTAACTGGATAGCTACTTCTCATAACATGACCAGTCTTCATTTTCTACCTTGGCCATTGGGTAAACTAGCCAGTGATCTGTCTTAAATTTTAAGCAACACACCTTTCACAGCATCTTCTAAAACCTGACCAACCAAGTGCGGCTTCGAAAACTACAAGTAGCTTTGGTAGCACTCATTCTGGTAGTGACGAGGTAGGTACGAAGAAAAATAGACGCGGAGGTCTAAGAGCATTCAAAAAGACACGGGCGTAAGACGTGCATAAAACGAGATTATCTTGTAGGGTTTTAGCAGCAACAAATACAGAGCATATGAGTACTTCTGCAGACATACGTTTGAACATATCCATAAGCAAAACATAAGTTTTTAAATTTGCTGTGTTACATGAGGTGGGCATGTTAGTTCGGAGGTGGGAAAAGTGTCCCCCGCTTTGTCCGTCCACCGCACCCCAACTTTCACTTTCGACTCACACCGCCACATTCTTGGCAACCAGGCAGCCTAGTTACAAAGTTCCTACTCGCCCACTTCCCCCTCCAAACCTCTCCCTCAACTCAAGACAACCACGAACCACAGACCAACTGCTACAGAGACAATCGACTACGACTCTATCCGGCTGTCGCCCGCCATGGCGGCTCCGGATACACACAGAGCTCGCCGTAGCTCATGCTGCCGACGTTCCTTCGCTGCTGGAAACCCTACCCGAAGAAATCATTTGCGAAATTGCTGCACATCTCGAATTCGCCGGCCTATGCGCGCTGCGTCTCACTTCGCATACAATGGCCTACAAATCAGAATTTACGTTCAGATCAAACTACAGATGTAGAGACAGGTTTGTCAATCTCACGATGGAAGGACTCGAAAAGCTACATGAGATGTCTCTGGACCCACTATTTTCGCAGTCCATTACGAGACTCTATTTCAGACACCCCTCCTCTTTGAGCGAACTTGCAGAGAAAGCAGAGTTCGTGGGAAACCAAACCTCGACTCAAACAGTGGATCCGCGCATGGCTTTATTGCTTTCTACTTTGGGAAACCTCAAGGGGGTTAAAATAGTAGAGCTTGACGATAATTGTTATGGTAACGAGGGAGAGCCTTGGAGCACATTGTCAATGCGCGCAATCTGCATTGCAGTAAAGGTCCTACGCCCACAACTCAAGAGAATGAGATTGCATGGGTATTGTCACTGTCAACTTTCGAAAACTGAGGATGATGGAGAGATTGAAGAGACGTCGGACTGGGATCTCGAGGGCCTGGAAGATTTGCAATATCTTTGTTTGGTTTGTTCCTCCGTCAGGAACACCCAGAGTAAGCAACTTATCCGTAATTCAGCGTGTGAACATTTCAGTTACTGACATGCCGCCAGGCCCCTCTCCTAATTACGAAGTCATAAGACAGATGACTTGTCTCATCACTGCTGGATCCAAAATAACGGAACTGGATATAAGAGTTCTAAAATACGATGAAGATGAACTGCTAGGTCGTCAATTAGTCCAAATGTTCAACTCTCTCCAGAACATCACTAGGTTCACATCCCTTCAGCTTATGGGATTCACGTTCAGATCGGTAGATATCCTCGCTGTGCTCGCTAAGCTCAAAAGTCTTAAGCACCTTGGATTCTTCGATTGTATCCTAATCGAAGCTGGGAGTTGGATCGATGTTATTCGCTTTATGAGGAACGGCATGGATCTGCAAGGGTTCGGCTTCAGTAGAAACGGAAACCCTGGATACACGAGAGTTAAGTTTGTCTGGTCAGAGCCATATGTCTACTTCAGTAAGAGTTTGCTTGCTGGAGATGACGGATGGGTGTATGTCACATACTACGATGACGACACCAGTATTGGCTGGAGTTATCCATCGGCCGTGAAAGAAAGGGGGATAAAGAAAGTACTTGACGATATGATTGCCGGCTTTACAGAAGTAGAGGATTAGCATAAGAGATCATCAGAGTGGAGTTTCGCCCTCAAAAGTGGCAGGCCATCAAGCAGTTGCTCCCATATGGGCCACGAACAATATGCCCATCTCTTCTAAATATTTTGCCTCTCATGCGTGGCACTGCAACCACATGAATATGAGTTGACCCCGTCCTCAAAACTTTACACTGGCGTATCCCTTTCGGATACACTAGCGCCTTGCCTCTTTTTAGATTCGAAAACGCGGAGAACCTCCTCGCATTGGAAGTGCTCTAGCACTATTGTACAGTTTCTTTCGTACTTTCATAGGGTACTCTTGCACTATTGCACGTTCATACTCCGCATCTTTATGAGAAACTCCCATGTTCTTTTCGAATGTCATTTAGGACCTATCGAATCCACCGCCCAATCTAGTCTTGTAGCTAGCTACTGTGCGCCACTTCTGCGGTATGTATTCTTGATGAGGATTCCACGGCACTTCTACGTACCCGGCAATCATGTCGTCCAACACCTTGTCGACACCTTTTTCTTTCACGAGTTCCTCTATGTCATCACCTTTAGATATAGGCTGAATCCAGTGCACAATGGTCCAATCCCAGTCTTCCATTGCGGGATCAATGCTCTCATGAAGGCAGATGCAATCCTCTCCACTCCAAGTGGCACCTGGCCAGTCGAAGCAGACGGCCATAAAACCAAACCAGCTGCGATCGGTGCTGCTATTGAAGGCGTTGTCCCGGAATATAAGTCTCTGCAAGCTCATCTGGTTCTTAATCAAGTCAAAAACATTGAGCCAGCCACGGTATCTGAGGCGGCATGTTGTAAGCTCCAGAGAGATGAGGCTAGTCTTCAGCTTGCGTAAGATGGAACATAGAGTTTGTTCCGTTATTTTAAAGTCATCATGTCGACCCTCCAAACCTACTAAGCAGAGCGAAGAGAGCCCTGAAAGATGTTCCATAGTGTCTAAGTTCTTGTCGAAACGCTCGGAAATGTGGGGAGAGAAGCACTTGTAGGACAATAGGAGTTCATTAATGTTCTTGGCAGCCGAAAGGATATCCGAGAAATGGTTGAAGGCAACATGTTCCTGGGTGGCGCCACGATCGCTGCCGTCAAGACCTTCCTGAGTGTAAGTGGAATGATCTCTATTTCATACACTACAGCTGATGTGCTTACCGCTTGGCTCGTAATGGGCCGTTAATGAGAGGGACCGTACGTTTTCGAGGCCCTGAAGATACCATTTAGAGGGCTCTTCAGTACCTTCAGGATTCCAAGCCGTAAATCTCAATCCATCATATAGACCTAGTGTATCAAGCTTGGAGTCAGATGCTTTCAACGCGGTGAGTAATGCGCATAACCGCCAGGAACTCCAGACGGGCCTCATTCTCCTGTGCCGTGTCCCATAATCTGAATCTTCGTCATCAGATAAGCCAATGGATTTGAGACTTCTCAAGTTGCTTAGTATTGAGGTCAACAGATCTGTATGCATGCTGGTCTGCTTGTAGAGAGCCTCGTCTTTCGCCATGAGCATGCAATTCTCCATATCGCGAATATCGTCGCCATCATAGACGTAATCGGAAGCATCGAATCGTAGATGTGTAATGCGCTGTGAGAACAGTGGGTGCTCGGACAACTTTTGGAGCCTCAAGAGCTCTTCAAAGTTAAAGAGGTGCCATCTGTGAGTAATGTTGTGATGTGTCTTCAATGCGAACTCTGACTTGTTGCCCATAGTGTGCGAGGTGAGCCGAAGTGAAAGGAGGTCTGAAACATCGAGTCGGGCTCCGATGTTACAGATGACCTCCTCCGGTAAGGATTCTAACGAAGGCGGCATTGTGAAATCGTAGCGATCATGGCTGGAGCTTTGAGCGATAGCGACGAAAGCGGCGGCGGGCAGCAGCAGCAGTGGGCTGCAGCAGCAGCAGTGGGCTGCAGCAGCAGCAACGTCTAGTAAAGAAGTGCTGATTGTCGAAAGGCTTTGTTGCTGCTGACGCGTAGCTGTCGTAGGTTGGAGAGTGTTGTGGTGCGGGAAAACTTTTGTGGGGGAAGCGAGGGGAGTGAAGTGAAATGGCTTTCAGGATTACCCGTTCGGGACTAGTCTGGCCACGAAATCTTACGGACAAAGCACCAGGCTACCCAGCAGACGAATCGCGATTGCCAGCGGCACCAGCGGCGACGAGTTATCTTCCGGATTGCCAGCACGAGGAGAAACTACCATCAAACGGGTGCATAATGCTACCAGTTACATATCCTCTTGGACTACAAAGACCAAAGACAGAATAAAGAGCGACGGCCACACCGCACACTGCTCTTAACACCCAAGCCGCATAGAATGCACGGTAGCAAACAATAACCGAAACACACAAATGCGCGCCCCCGACTATGAGAGTTAGTACGTTGGTTTGAGCAATGCTTCTGCAACCCCCGTGAAGAAGAAGGCATGAGGAGACTTTATCGGATAAAGGTCCATGGAAGTCCTGCGGCGGGCATGGTCAGGAATCAGGCAGAGGGACTTCGGAGAGGGAGTGAGGAAGTTGTCCGCAGAGCGGCGTAAAGGGTCGATTTTAGGTGTCAAATAGGCCTCTTACTGCTCAGCGGGGAGCCGAGAAGACCAGCAAGCGCTCTCCCGCTCGTCCGCCCAGACCGACGGTGATGAGGCTGGATTGGGGCCGCCTTAAGCTTGGCTTGAAGCTGCCTTTCATTGCTACCTGATCCATTTAGCCGCATTTCGGCCTAGCCAAAAAATTTAGAAGCCTCCCAGCTTTCCCAGTCGCCACTGCTCCGCCCTTATGCCGTGTCGTCAATTTGTTTCACTGCAAACTTCAATCATTTCCGACAAAGCCTCCTTGAAACCATTCTCCATGATCACCTCCTGAAGCAGCCATCCGTCATCTACGCCATGATGAACGTATACGTAGTCCTCACTTCGACAATTCGTGTCGCTACACGGGCGGCTATCCTCAGTTCCATGAAGTCTCTCATCACGCTCCTCCCCTGTACTCCAAGAGCTTAGTGCGAAGGGGCCTTTGCCGATCCACTCGAAACCAACATAACCTCCATGACGATACCCATTTTTTTCAAAGACAAAGCTTTCCAGGTTTAAGGTATCTCTTACGGCCTCGATAACAGAACTCCAGAAGCCATCGTTCAATCTGGCGTAAGTAATGGATAGCCTCTTCAATGTGTCCTTGTGGTTTCGGAGAAAGCGGATAAGATGGGACGCGGTTGCATGCACCGAAAAATCCAGTACAAGCTCGCGGAGGTTGTCAAGCTGCACGAATTTTGCCAACGATGCCATGATTCGACCAGTAGCGAGAGCTTTGTCGAGCCAGTCCCAGTCGAACCCCAGATGTAAGCTGTGTAGTTTAGGAAAGGCTAAGATAAGCGCAACAATGTACTCGCACGCTCGTCGTTCTGTCCACCATCAAGTCAGTTACTTTAGTCGTCATCAGTCAAAAGGGGGAAAGCACCACTTTTGTCCCAGGCGTCTGTGCTCCTTAATTCCAATTTGCGAACTGAGTCCAAAGAGCAGAAATGAAATTCTGGCATCCTAGATCTGACATTACGGGAGAAACTTCCGTACTCGTCTGCAAGGTAATTCGAAAATTCTAGCTCTTTCACTTGTAACCCGCTTGTCATGATCGCAGACAGCAGTACCGGCATAGCCCAATGAGAGAACACTGGTAGTGTTATGCCTGCTAATTCTGACCATCCTGTGAAATCATCTCCATACGAAGGGCCATAGCTATCGACAAGATGGATGTGATCCAGGTTAACGAGCTTGGTGAAGGCTGCTGTCATCATGGAGGCATGCAATCCGGTCAGTTCGCTGGAGGACTTCTCTTCGCTTGCTTTCTTGTACCGATCAAGAATGCATTTATTCTCTTCCTCAATAGTATCATTGTTATACTCGATCTGAAGCATATCATGTTCGGGCTCATAGACATGGACAGCGCGGAGATTGAGGACCTTGACAGAAGTGGCGAATTTCGTGCTCTGGGAGATGTCTAGGAGAATGCGCAATTCTTCCCTAGTGAAATAGCGATTGATAGTTGTGAAGAAGCGCTTCGCAAACTGGTAGGTAGACTTCTTCTCGAGTGCAGTAGAGGTGAGGCGCAAGGACTGGAAATCTTTAAAGTCAAGCAACTCTGCGACCTTGCAGACGATCTCGGTCGGCATGGCGAGCAGAGAGGCGGGCGCCGCTCTCGTTGGCGAGAGCGCCGCCATGGTGTCTTTCGTGAGCGACGCAGTGACGTGAGGTAGGGAGGTAAAAGAAGTTTAGAGAGACGGGGGTGGAAGTTGAAGGGAAGAAGACGCCAGATTGTGAACCTTTGACAAGAGGCGCACGTGCCACACTTTGTTTCTGCCCGTTTGGGAAGGACCTCTGGCAAACTGACTGCTGCACCTCTCTGCCCGACTCTCTGCACTCTCGAAAGTTCAAGCGCCAGCGATATCCTAGCACACCCTGACCGTTACGACGAGAGAAACGTTCTGAACAATCACCACTGACTTTGAACCGGTCAGCAGCCTCCAACTGTCAAACTTTGTAAACAGGCTCAACTAGGTATACCTACGCGCCCCCACGATGTCACCGCATCAACAACCCCGACAGCTCAAGGCCCAGCCTTCCTCCACTCCATCCCGCGATACTCCCTCCACGTCGCAAACCCCAACCGCTCATACCAGCCCCTCAGCTCGACCCAATCCACAAACACGCCCTTCACGCCCCTCGCCCTCAAATCCGCGACCGCGGACGCCGACATCGCGAGCCCGACCCCCCGTTTCCGCCACGGCTCGTCGACGCCCACGCACGCGAGCAGCCCCGTCGCCTCCCCGCACAGCGGCGGCAGCGCCAGCTCCTGCCACACCGGCAGCCCCGGCTCCAGCATCAGCGCCCAGCCGACCTGCTCGCCGGACGGCGCGCGCGCGACCATGGCTTGGCGGTGTAGGCCGCGGTCTGCGAGCGTGGCGAAGGCTTCACACCAGCCGGGGTGGGTGGAGAAGTTGCGGCGCATGATGGCGAGGCTGGCGGCTTCGTCGGCGGGCGTCCAGGGTGTGAACGTAAAGCCTTGCGCTGTGGCGGGGGCGAGGATGTCGGCGGGGATGGTGAAGTCGGTGATGGGCATGAAGAGGTCGCGGCAGAGGACGCCGGGGAGAAAGCCACGGTGCTGGAAGAACTCTTGGTGGCTGGAGGGGATGTCGAGGGGGAGACCGGGGAAAAAACGTGGGAAGGCGGAGCCGATGGAGACGCTCTTGCTGGAGCACCCGAGCTCTTTTCGCGCATGCTCCAGCAGTTTCGTGCCGATTCCTCTGTTTTGCCAGTCCCGGTCAACAAGGAGTGCCGCTATGGAAGCTTTTGGTTCAGCGTCCATCTCGGCAGCGAACCCATGAGTGAGGGTTGCTATGAAGCCAATGATAGGTCCGCCAGCGTCTCGGACTACATAATGGCGTCCACCTGGCCTTCGAAGGAGATAAGCCAGATGTGTCTCAGGAACCTGGTACGTCGGAAGGAGCTCATGCCACAAATCGCAGATCCGCTCCATGTCCCCCTCATTATCCGACTCAAAATCTTCCGCTGGTAATCGGCCGCTAGGCGAGTCGGCGGAAGCGTTCCCGTTTACCGCAACAGGAAGTCGACCTTCTGGCTTGAAAACGCCGAATATGGCATCCGCTGCAGCTTGCAGCGCAGGCGAAGTCGGTTCGTAAGTAGTAATGTACGTTTTAAATCTTTCGTCCTCGAGGAAATCATATGGATCACATGTAGCGACGACAATTAGCTTTGTTTCATCAGCATTTTTCTTTTCCACCAACTCTGCTAATGCTTCTGCTAGTTCACGCTGATACGGAGCAAGCCTAGCGTTCCGAGTAGCGAGTATAATGTGACTGTGTTTTATGTCTTCGGCCGCTGCTAATACCCTGTTTTTTGTCTCAGTGAACTGCCAAACCGAGGACATGAAGGATGCGAACTTACTGCTGTATTGTCTCAGGATTGTCATAACACTGCATTTCTTTAACCTGCGGATGATGTGATCGCAAAAAGTCGATAAAGCCGAGCGGCTTATGTGGTCTAGAAGATTCTGTGTTTCCATAGCTGATAACACCGCTAACTCCTCGCAGTTCCATAGGAGAGACGAACAGTACCGGCGCATCTTTCTTAACTGGCAAAGCGCCCGGTTCAGAGCGCACAATCGTTGTAGTTTTGGCGTAGACCTCATCCGCCAAGCTCACATTGGTCCGATTGATGTCTTCCAAGGTGGACTTGGTCGACGCATCGGAACCCTGCAGCTCTGCAAATTTTGCCAACGCTCCGCCGCATTTATCTGTAACGCGAGCGCAGGACTTGTCAATTAACATGCGAAAAGACTCGTCTTCTCTGGCCTCCTTGTAGATCGCCTCGAGAGCACCTTGCTGCAGCTCCATCGTATGGCATATCATGACACAATCACAACCACTGCGGAGCGCAGTAACAGCGCCTTTTACCGTACCGCCGCATTCCGTACGTATAGCGTTCATCTCAAGGCAATCAGATATAATCACTCCATCAAACCCGAGGTCCTCGCGCAACAGCTGCAAGACTTCTCTGTTCAACGTAGCCGGAAGATCGGATTGCTGGGAGCCGAAGATGATATGCGCCGTCATGACAGCCGGACAACCACCCGTAACAGCGCGTCTGAACGGAACCAGTTCACATTCTTCCAGCTCGTCCCAGCTCTTCTCGATCTTCGGAAGGCCGTAGTGGGAGTCGACGGCCGTGTCGCCATGGCCCGGAAAGTGCTTCACGCAAGAAATGACGCCCTGCCTCGCCAACCCATTCCAAGTCGCGTGCGCCATGCGCCCGACCAGATGGGGATTATCGCTGAAGGAACGCACGCCAATGACGGGGTTGTCCGGGTTGTTGTTGACGTCGCAGACAGGCGCGTAATTCATATTGATCCCCAAAGCTCTCAGCGACATTCCCGTCGCCTCCGCAACGCGCTGCGCATACTGCGGACACGCTGTCGCGCCTAGCGCCATGGGCCCCGACAGCTGCGCGGCAATGGGCGGCTGGATGCGCGTGACGAGCCCGTTTTCCTGGTCGATGGCGATGATGAGCGGGTCCTTGTGGCCGGCCTCCTGGGCGAGGCGCTGCAGGTCGCGCGTCAGGCATGCGAGCTGGTGCGCGTCGTGGACGTTGCGCTGGAACAGGACGATTTGGCCGACGTAATAGGGCGCGCGGATAAGGGTCTTGATGTGCGCGTCGGGCGTGAGGCCGTGGAAGCCGACGATGCAGAGGCGGCCGATGCGGCGGCGCAGCGCGTCGTCGTCGTCGCTGGCTGGTGGGGGGCCCATTGCGCGCGGCAGCGATTTGACGCTACCTATGGAGGACTCGGCGGATTCAGAAAAGGAGGATTGGTCTGGATCCGATGTGGTCTTTGCGATAGGGACGAAGTCGCTTTAAGGTCGATCATCCGCGCCGGTGGCGGTGGAGGTGGAGATGGGCGGCCCACTGTTCGCGGGCACGGTTGCTCACGTCATACTGTATTCTGACGGCAAACGCTTCCCTTGCAGTTGTATGTTTGCTTTTTACTCCTACAACATACGACAGTTCCACGACACGACAAATCTTCAGACGAGACGGAACAGTTTCCCGAGGAACGATGGCGAGCACACAGGGCCCCCAATCACCCGAACCAAGGATACGATAAGCGGTTCCCCAACCCCGCGGCCTCTCGTTGGCCCAAATGTCCTGCTTCGGCGCACGCATGACCAGCAGCTCCCCCATGTCATGTCGGCGCGTGGGGAAAAGCCGCCGCCCTCGCCCATGGCGGGAGTCCCGTTCGCTACCCCCAGCTACCGCGCATCATGGACGAAGCCAAGGACGCCACGGCTGACATCAACATCAACACCACTGCCGCCGCAGACCAAGCCGCGCCCGCCGACGACCGCCGCAGCAAGGACATGCGCGAGAACCTGGAGCAGTATGAGCGGCTGCTCGAGACGGACGAGGACGCGTTCGAGCAGCCCACAACGACGCGGCGCGAGCTGTGGGCGTACTATTGCTACTACAACGCCGACAGCGGCGTTGGGCCCGTGACGTACGGACAGGCGCTGTACGTACCTACCTATCTTCGTCTTGAGTCGGGAGAGCTGGCTTCGCGGCGCGGTTCATGTACAGGGGAAGGAGAGTGAGAGCCTGCTTGCTGATTCGAGACCGCACCTAGGTTCCAGTCGGCGCTGTCGGCCGCCGGGCACGATCCCGCCATCTCGCCCGTCGTTCCCGGCAACTGTACCACGCGCGGGTGTGTTCTGCCGTGGGGCAGCGGGACGCGGAGCGTGGCGTCCGTGGTTCTGATCGCCAACGGCGTGTGCTTCGCCGTTATGTCGTTCCTGTTTGTGTGGCTGGGGAGCGCGGCCGACTACGGCTCGTTTGGGCGGTGGCTGCTGCTGGCGGCGACGCTGGTCAACTGGGTCTTCCAGTTCGCGTTTATGAGCGTGCGCGGGGCGGGGCAGTGGAAGACGGCCATGGGGCTGTACATTGTCAACTACATCGCGTACGGGTCGACGCTGGTATTCTTTGCCGCCATCTTCCCGCGCTTGGCTAGGTATATGCCGCATGTGCGGAAAGCGCGCGAGGAAGATCTCAAGGATGGGCGGATCAGCCAGGACGAGTACGACGCGATTGAGAGCCTCGAGCGGAACCACATCTCGAATGTTTCGACGGCGCACTCGAACGTCGGCTACGTCATGACGCTTGCGGTCAGCCTGTCCGTGCTCCTGCCCATGCGCGGCAACAGCTACGCCAACAACTGGGCCCTCTTCCTCAGCACGGCATACTCCATCGTCTTTGGGGTCTGGTGGTTCATCTTCCAGCAGAAGCGGCCCGGTCCAAGGCTGCCACGCGACTCGTCCTACGCGACCATCGGCTGGAAGCAGGTGTTCCTAGCTCTGCGCGAGATCCGGCACCTGCCGCAAACGTTTATCTATCTCGTGGGGTTCTTCCTGCTCGCCGACGGGCTCAACACGACCTCTACGCTCATCAGCATAATCCAAAACGACCAAGTGAGCTTCAGCTTCCTGCAGATCACGTATCTCGGGCTGGCGCAAGCGCTGTGCAGCGTCGTCAGCACGCTGGGGTTCTGGCGCATCCAGCAGCGCTTCAACATCAGCACGAAGCGCATGTTCATGGTGACGAACGCGTTCAGCGTGCTGCTGCCGTTCTACGGGATGCTAGGGCTGTGGACGCGGCGCGTGGGCTTCCACCGCATCTACGACTTCTGGCTGTACAATGTCGTCTTCGGGCTGTTCCAGGCGCCGTACTACGCGTACGCGCAGACGATGATGAGCGAGGTGACGCCGCGCGGGTACGAGGGCATGTTCTTCGGGCTGTTTGGCATCACGAACCGCGCGAGCAGCGTCATCGGGCCGAATGTCGTGCAGGCGATTGTGAATGCGTCGGGGAATAATTGGCTCGGCTTCCCGTTTTTGGTCGGCTTGTGTACGGCGGCTGTGGTGGTGATTTGGTTCGTTGATGTTGAGGAGGGGAGGGAGGCTTGTAGACGGTTTGTTGATGAGAGGAAGATGGTGAGGGTGGCGAGGGAGGGGGGCGAGCAGGCGGAGGAGCTGGTCGTGGCTGTTTCGGGGAGGGATGCGGTGCGTTGAGAATTGTTAGATGTCCAGCTGGCATTGGGGTTATTGATAGAGAGGGATGTTTTTTGGTCTAGTGTCTTTGAACCCAGCTAGGCCGGCGGCTTTGGATTTGTAATTCTACATAGGGTAGGTATGTCCGTTGACAATATACCATCGTGACCACGAACTCCACCTACTCCACTCCCCCGCGACCCGGAAAGCGCGCACCCTTACCCCACCCCAGCAAGCGCACCGACCACACGTCAAAAGCGCGCCGCACGTCATCCCGCGCCCGACACAAAACGCGTCTCCCGGACCTCACCTCACGCGCACACACCCGCGCCATCCAAACCCCACGCCAACCACAGCAAGCAAAACAAAAACAAAAAACCACCATGCCACCCAAGCGCGCCGCCGCCGCCGCCGGACGCAAGCGCGCCTCGGAAGTGTACGAGGACGACGGCTTCGTCGTTGGGGACGAGGGCGCGCCGCAGCTTAAGCGCGCCAAGGGCGGCGCCAAGAAGGAGGTCAAGACGGGCTTGCAGAGAGATGACGAGGGGAATGAGTTCTGGGAGGTATGTTTTCTGGTGTTGTTGTTTTGGAGGGGGTGCTGGCAAGGGCTGACGATGTGTGTGTCTGTGTGCAGATTTCGAACCAGCGGCGCGTGACCGTGAGCCAGTTTAAGGGGAAGACGTTTGTCAGCGTGCGCGAGTACTACGAGAAGGACGGGAAGGCGATGCCGGGGAAGAAGGTGGGTGGGTGCGCTGTCACGTTGTCAGGCATCGCATCGCATCTTTCTGGTAGACGGCTAGCTGACTGACGCGCGTGCTGGCAGGGAATCTCGCTCTCGGTCGAGCAGTACTCGACGCTGCTGACGCTGCTGCCGGACATTGAGGCCGTGCTGGGCCAGAAGGGCGAGAGCGTGCCGCGCCCGAGCTATGAGGGCGAGGTGGGCGGCGCTGTAAAGCAGCAACCTGCTGAGGATGAAGAGGGAGAAGCGGAGGAAGAGGGCAAGAAGAACTTCGAGGCCACGAGCGACGAGGGCGAGGAGTGATTGGCGGGCTTGAGGGGGAAGCGGCGCGAGACGTGGTCCGGGGACATGAGGGTCTCGGGCGGAGCCGTGGTTCGCGCGAGGTGCAGGAAAACGTGCCGAGTGGAGCGGGATGGCGCTCTCAGGTATTTTCTAGGTAAATTCTCTTTGCTTTCAGTTGTGAATACCCTTGAGCTTCGTCTGGCTGTCTTTTGCATAGTTTTTGGTTGCTCGTCGTCTACACGTTGATTGCCCTCGTTCTACCTAATCTCCTCCTTGGCACCGAATCCAAGACCATCGTGTCATTTCGTGGGCGTCAATTGCTGTTCTGTCCCTTTCCATCGTCCTGCCATATTCGACAGCCGTTCCCCGTCTCGACCATAGATAGGCGGCGCGGAGAACATGGCTCGCCCAGCAGGACGCGCGGTAACAGACAGCTGGCCTACGTTTTGATATTGACTGGTCTACCACAGGACGGGCAAGTCTGGGGTATATCTTATGCCCTACCCCAGCTTTTTCTTCTTCTCCTATATATATACACGTACCCGAAAAGTCTCCACGATCAACGCTTCAGTGACGACGCACTGAGACTTTTCACTTAGCTAGACACGCACTGAAGGACGACGCTTCACTTTTCACTACCACGCGCATCCCTTCACACGTCTCAACTACGAAGCGCAGATCCACGCGCTCTCAGAGACTTCAAACAACACCACACACACACCGGCAGACTCTGCCTTGCAGAACAAGCCTTCAACCACTCAACCACAAAGCGACGGCGTACGCGCTCTCGAACACTTCAAGCAACGCTTCACACACACACACACACACACTCTCTCTCTCTCTCTCTCTCTCTCTCTCTGCCTCTCGCAGAACACAACCTCGCGCTCTCCTCTCTGCGCACTCTCAACCCACAACCCCCACAACCAACACGACTCGACCGAGAGTCACAACCACTACAACCACAACACCCACAACAGCAACACCAACCATGGCGCCCCTCCCACAAGCGCTTCAAACCCTGCAAGACGCCCTCGGCAACCTCTGCCACAACGTCAAAGTCGCATGCCAGTCCACCACCACCCCCAATAACCCCGCCAACACCAACACACACAACAACAGCACACCCCCTCCCCGCCCCACCACGCCCTACAACCCCACCCCCAGCGCCCCAATCCGCATCCCCGGCACGGTGACGCTGCCACCCGAGCCCGCAATCCTACAAACCACATGTCCACACGGCTGCGACCTCCCGGAGCAAGGCGAGCCCGAGGGCTCCTTGCGGGAACATTTCCCCTGCGGGTGGCTGGGTGCCCGCCCGTATGCTTTTGCGTGGGCGGATCCGGATGAGGTTAATGAATGCGGGGTTGAGAGTGATAGTGAGGATGAGGGTGAGGAAGATGGGTGGGAGGATGAGGATGAGGATGAGGGGTGGGATGGGACGTTTGTGAGGGTGCCGGTGCCCGGCGTAAAGGGTGCTGGGGGTCCTGCTGCGCAGACGCAGAGCGGGACGCAGACACAGACGCAGACACACCAGCACGACGCCGGCGCAACGGCCTTGAAGCCCGCGTCCCCTGCTGCTGTCGAGAGGCATGACTCCCTCTTTGACATCGCGGGGCCCACAAGCACAATTACAACCACACCAGTCGCGAGCGCGTCGACATCGCCGACTTTTGCTTCCTCTCCCACGACCACTCAGGACACCAACGTCCACGCAAACGGCGCGCGCCCTGACCTCGACTTCGCTGATGCCAACACCGACACTGACACCAACGCGCAGCACCCCGACCAAGAAACAGGCGGCATGGACGAGTGCCCGCTGCACCTCACGAGCGCGGAATGGGCGACCGAGTGGGACGGGCTCATGGCCGAGGTTGGCGATCTACAGACACAGATCGAGCAAGACGCGGTCGCCGAGAAAGAGGAAGCTAGAGCAAAGGCCAAGGCACAGAGGAAGCAGTACACGCAGGCCATGTACGCGCAGCAGTACGCGCAGCAGCTGCAGTGGGTGCGGCGGAAGCAGTATTCACGGAAGATGTACGCGCAGCACCGTGAGCGGCTGCAGGAGCGGCTCCGACAGGGCAAGCTTGACGAACATCTCGAAGAAAAAGAAGGAGACGACGACGATGCTATCTCCTCGCCGTCTGTCCAGTCTGGGTCCAAGTCGAGGGGGCTTGGAGGCACTGCGCAAGACGCACAGGGCGCGCACGACGACGACGAAGCGCACTGGGCAGAGCTGATGGGCGTAGTCGAAGAGTTCAAGGCTCAGATCGAAGCAGACGCTGCCGTGGAGAAAGAAGCTGCGGGAGCGACGGCGGCGTGGCAGCAGCAGCAGCAGCAGCAGCAGCAACAACAGCAACACCAGCACCAACACGAAAAGCCGGGAGACGCGCACAACGACGGCAAAGCCCAGTGGGCCGAGCTGATGGGTGTGGTGGACGAGTTTAAGGCTCAGATCGAGGCAGATGCTGCTGCTGACCAACAACACCAACACAACACCGCCGTCCACGCAGAATGGGCCGCACTGCAAATATCGCAAGCGCGGACGCCCAAGCGCGGGGGCTGCGAGGCGCTTGTCCTGACGCCGGCACCCGCACCTACACCAGTGCAAGCGCCTGTGCCTGGAACAGCTCAAGTGCACACACACGACGCCGACGCAGAGCACTGGGCAGGCTTGATGGAGGTGGTCAGGGAGGTCATGGCCGTGTGCTAGGCGCGGCGCGGTGCGCTGGGGCGGGAACGGGAGCGACGACAACGGCGGCAATGCGAACGACGACGGAGTTTATGGGACGGCATGCACTACGCGGAACGTTGCTACGGCCAAGGTCCGAACAGAACCAAACGCCACTATGGCTGGGCGGGACGATCGACCCTGCTCCCAGAGCTGGCGCTCAAAGAAAGCGTCTGCTTTTGTCCCAACGTCTCCCCAGCTTGCGGATACCTCTACTGCCTGTGCGCTTTGGGGGGGCAGGCAGCACACATGTCCGTTTTCGCTAGGGGTGTACCGAAGGGAGAGGAGGAGGAGAGGAGGTTGTCCGTTTTGCGCAACTCAACAATCCCAATCCCGCCTGGGTGTCGCGGACAGGAGGAGGAAGACTGGGTGGGGATCACAGACAGACATGGAAGGAGGCACGCAAGCGGTGGGGCGGGACGTCGGCCAAGGAGGCGGAGGAGGTGGAGGAGGTGGTGGTGGTGATGATGGGAATAAGTGAATGAGGATGGTGGACGACTAGACTATCGACTGGAGACGGTCGTTATGGAAGAATAATGATAATGATAATGATGGCGAGGATCCGCACAGTTTGGAATGAAGTGCCTGCGTTGCGCGTGGCTGCACTGGTGCTTGTGAACAAAGCCATTCTGGCCGGATTTTGTTCCCTGTGATCCTACATCATAGGACTCAGCGTTGAATGCGTCGGCGAAGGAGTGCCGTTCTGTAGGTGCTCTTTATACCAAGGTAGTTCTATTAAAGGGCCGACATCTTGCCGTGGGATTTTTTGCTCGCTCGTTGTAAGTACAGTGCTGCTTCCGATGTATCTGGGTATGTGAAGGAGCAATAAATCAAATATTTACTTGATTTGAGCGATCGTGATACGTACAAGCGGGTCTAGTCTGCTCAGCTCTATCTATCTACGGCCGCAGTCATCGCGTCTATTCCACCACCATCAAGACCATTCACAAACCCACCACCACCGCACGCATCTAAACACCAGCCGGGGCCTGCGCCTCGACCAACTTGGCATGCGCCATAGCGACGCCCTTCAGCTGCGGCGCCTCGCGCAACAGGGTAATATTCTGCTTGAAAGCGTCCGTATCCCTAAACTTGACATGGGCGTCGACGCTCTCCCAGCCAACGCAGGCAACATAAGCCTTGGCCTTGCCGCCCTCGACCTTCGCGGCGTCGTAGTCGAGCGTCTCGACGACCCAGCCGCCAGCGGCGCCCTTGATGACCGAGCCGCCGTGCTCGACGATCGCGGCCGTGAGCTTTGCGATGTTGGCCTCGATCGTGGCGGCGTCCTCGGCCGAGAGGTCCGACGGGAAGTATACGGTCAGGAGCTCGGTGGCGGGGGCGCTGGCGTCGCTGAGGGCGGGGGCGGGCGGCGAGGGCGACAGCTGCGAGTGGTAGAGGAGGGGGGCGCCGTCGAGGATCTGGAGGAGGTGCTTGACGAAGGGGGCGTAGGAGCTAGGAGGCAGAGAGACAACTGGTCAGCGAATCGTTTCATTCGTTCACGCCGAGTCAATGGTATGCGTACGCGTCGGCGATGAAGCGCTGGTGGTGCTCGAGCGTCTCCCAGTCGACAAACAGGCGCAGCGTGCTGGGATTCTCGAGCTCGCGGCCCCAGTAGGCGCGCTGCGCGCCGTCGCGGCCCAGCACCGTGCGCAGCGTGTCGTTCCAGATCTGGCCGGCGGGGGAGCTGGCGTCTTCGACGGCGGCGCCGGCCGCGAGCGGCAGAATGGCGATTTCGGTGATGGGGGCCATGGTTTGTGTGTGTGATTGAATTGGAGAGGTTGGATGAGGTTGGAGAGGGTTGATGGAGATGTCAGAGGAATGGTGGTTTTGTGAGGTGGGGTGTTTACGAGTTCGCGGGGTTAAGATTAATCCCCGGGATGCATCAGGCCTGGCGGATAGATTTCTTCTTGGGGAATGTGAATTGGTAAGCCGTCAGCATGGTGTTGATTCCACCAATGTCGGCTCTTTCTTTTTAATTCGTAGCAAGGCTTCAACCACCGAGGTTTCCACATGTCAAGGACTTTCAATAATTATGGTGGTTTCCTCGAGCTCTTTTCATGGCGCGCCAACTGCTGGACGCCCGCCGCGTTGTTCCGCAATAGGAAGTTCTGCGAGTCATGCTAGCTCTGGTACGGTACCTCTTTCTCCACAGATTGTGGTCTGTTAAGAATGTTGGATGGTTCTGCAGTGCTAAGACCTCAAATCCTTGCTCCGCGGAGCAGGACCTCCGACTATACCTAGGTATCGCCACACCTTCGGACCGCCCCGCCATGCTAACCATTTTAAGTTACCCCCAGTACCTTTCCAGCTTTAGTTACTTTAACCACAGGATGATATCCTACGCTGCCTATAGTCGGCGGTTTGAAGGTATTACAGCAAAAGACACGACGGGTGGCCGTGGATAGTCGTGAAGGACCGGTCAACTGAAGTAAAGTTTGACTGTGAGTCCGTGCTATAAGCGCCTGCCATCCGCCAGGCCATCCAAATCACCTTCGCTCCACTGCATAGGTCCACCAGTCCCACTGTCAAAGCTGAAGCATGCGATATAGCAGAATCATGCACAGTTTTCCATCAGGCACTGCCCGATAAAGTGGGCATTGGGCGTAGAATCGTGTGTTTGATGTTTCTGTCGGGCATGTCCAATTAAGTGGGCAGTGAGAGGGGAGATGAAGAAGGCGCATATATAAAGCACGGCATTCTCAGCAAGCTTTGGAGAACATCGGTCTACATCTTTACCTTCTCCTGCAAACACGATCAGTTACGATTCACGAAAACAAACCACCATCAAAGTGAGCATGTGCCGCAACCGCCACTCATTAGACGGCTACTAACAAACCCAGATGTTCACCAACACCAAGTCCCTCATCATCGCCCTCTTTGTCGCGGCGACCATCCCCGCTGGCACCCTCGCCGCCCCCGCCAAGAGGCTCGCAGACGGCGTAACGTGCGAGACGTCCACCGGCAGCCCCGACACAGGCTCCGTTACGGACGTCATCAACCAGGTCCGCGGCAAGGGCGGGCTCTGCCTCAACGACAACGACATGGGCAGCGGCTGCACCACGCTGGTCAGCCACAACGCCGCTGCCATCTCCATGTGCGGCACCCCGTCTGCGACCCAGTGCACCGATGTCGCTGCCATGGCCAACGAGATCCAGCAGACCTGCTTGTCCAACGGCAGGGCTGGCGGCCAGTACCGCAGGGGCCTCTATGTCATCGAGGTTATCCACTCTTGAGCGTTTGCTAGTGGCGAGGGGCACTCGGCGTCGCCGACTGCACTGTCGTTTTTTTAAAAAATGGAGTTGGGGTCTGGGATTGGAAAAGAAAAGGAGTCTGCAGAAATTTTATGTACTTAGTCGTCTGTTATGAATAATGAGTGGAGCTCAGCAAGGACGCTTGGGAAACTCACGTTTTTGTGGTGCCTTGTCGCAGAGTGTCTGTGCAAAGTGTGTGAAACTGAAATTCTTGGTCTTGCGGGCAGCACCGTGCGGTCGAAGAAAAAAGAAACTTGATGCTTGGAGACCCGAATCTTTGACTGATAGCCTGATATGCACAGGGTGTAGGTGCATCGGAGTGCACTGTGCAACGGCCTGACAGGTCCGCCATTGAGTGAGAAATGTCGTTGCCACAAAACATCCCAGATTTCTGGGCTTGTGAAGGCAACGAATTACTCCGTACGACCCAGAAGCCCAGGCACAGACGCCGAATTCCACTCCGATGCGCGTACACCCTGTAGATTTTAACGAAGGATCAGCAATAAGTCGACGTGTCACGTGGGGGCGGAAAAGTATCATTGGCTACGGATCCATTGTTGTTGTCGAGGTAAGCGAGACACCACGCTTGGCGTGGTGCTTCATCTGATGTTGCCGATGGTGTACCTGAGTGTGAATTTTGGTGGGCCTAAGTTATTCGGGATTGAGGTTTAAACGTTGGAGCTCCGTGAGATGTGGTTTGATGGTGGCATGGCCCGGCCCGTGTAGTCTTGTGGGTATAAACCACGGTCTCGGGCCTTTTTTCTTTTTGTGTGAGCGGCTAAAGAGCATAACATTCCTTTATTTCAGTCCTATGGTCTAGAAGTGTCACTGAATCTAGCAAGTACCGCGAAGTGTGGAAGCCTAACCTGAGAATTATAGCCGAATGACTTCGGCTCTTCAACGAATCAACATGATGAATCGGTAACTTATACGAGTACTCAGCCCAGAGGTAACATGGTGTTGATTCGACCTGTCAAGCAATGAGGTAGAAGAAAGTTAATTGTTGTCAAGAAACGAACGACGTGTTCGGTTAAAGAGGAGGTTCTAGGCTGAGCCCAACATACATTGTTAAAGCACGGCATTTCCAGTAAATAATCTCCGGCCGCCCTTGTTACCGTGGGATCCAGATATGCATAGTCTCTTCCTCATGTCTTTGGCGGTGCCTCAATTGTCTCGCGGACGGAGCTACTCCGCAACAGGCAATTTTGCGAGTCATTAACCGGAGTATATATTGCGGAGGTAGACACATAAAACATACAGAGTGTAGGCGCATCGGAGTGGAACGGGGCCGTTGTGGAGCAAGAAATGTCGATGCCGCAAACAGCACAGGTTTTCATACTTGTGGAGGCAACGAATTACGACTCAGAAGCCCAGGCACAGACACCGAATTCCAATCCGATGCGCCTACACCCTGTACGTGGCTTGTGGCATCGTAGAATGTGTTTTTCGACGGGATGATGGGTTGGGAAGTCGTGCATTGCCACTAAGGCCTCGGTGGTTCGGCGTGCGGCATGCTGGCATGGTACGTTGAGTTGGGTCTTGGAGCTTGAATTACGGATGTTGGCTGTGAGATTGGGTGCGGTTCGGGAGTTTGGTGGTGCTGTGGTGGTTGGCGTGGATATGGGAGCTTGTTACCTGTGAACGTCTTCGCCCGGTCTGTGCAAGGTGAGAGCGCGCAACATGCCAGACAGTGGCAGCAACCTTTGAGAAACCCCTAGAAAAACTTCTCAGCTTAGCCATTTCGATTACCGTACGTGATTTCAGGCTCAATTACGCAGTGTCTTCATGAATTGAACAGAATTTCAACCCTTCATCCTTGACAGTTCCACAATGTTCGAGAACGCCGTTGAAGTTCCGAACCTTTTTAGTTTTACATAGTTCAAGGGCACCACATTTTTCTCTTTGTGTGTCAAACATGCCGAAATATTCGTGGCCAGAACAAACAAGGCAACTGCGGCGTTGACGGGGTCCGTGCGTCTGCACTTTAGTTCACTTCATCGCCGCCCACTTCCTTCAACTTCCACCCTCCCCAGACCATCAACTTCATTCAGTACTACGCTTCTACCCAGGAACTGTCCACCACCATGGCGATGACCCTGCCCGCCAGGGCGGGGGGATCCTCACCTCTCGAAACTCTTCCCACTGAAATCGTTTGCCGGATAACGGACAATCTCGACATCGAAGACTTCCAGTCTCTGCGCCTCACCTGCAAAGAAGTCGAAGCCAAGTCTGTCTACTCCTTCGGAAAATGCTTCCTCGAAAACGTCGAACTGTATTTTATCAGAGACGACCTGCGGACTCTTGTCAATATATCTCGGAGCACGAAGTTCGCCGGCAGCGTAAAAGTTCTCTACTTTCTCGCAGTGCACCGCAGTAGAGAAATTACCAGACGCTATGACGAAGGATTCTATTCAGAAGAACCAAGCGTGGCATCTCTCATGGATTGGTACGAAGTAGCAGACAAGGAGGAAGATTCTAGCCGAACTACTGGATCGCACACGGCCCTGCTGGCAGTGTCTCTCGCAATGCTTAAGAATGTGTCAGCCAGGATCACTCCGATAACTCTCGTTTATCAGCCTCATTATTTAGTTGTTACACAACAGCCTTACCCCCTGCACTACTCATTTATCTACTGCAAGGAAGCAATGATCTCAAAGAGAAAACGTGTTCTTTTAGATAGCAGCATATATACCTCCATAGGTAACAGTAATCTAGAAGGACAAGCGGCGTCCAATTCCTCGCGCCCAGCTTCACAGAATGTGAAGTCGATTTCACTTTCAGACGGCTTTTCTAGCAAAGAAGATGTGTTTGGTCAACCTGAAACTGAAGCGGTATTGCCTGGATTTTCTCGTTGGACAGTACCAGTACTCCTAAACGCGATCTCAACAAGCGGGTCGGGTGTCAAGGATCTATGCTTCATAGACAACCTTGGAAGTATGCGCAATTCGAACTACGACTATTCCATCGTGCCTGGCTTCAACTCCGGTAACCAATATTTTGGAAGCATGGATAATATACACAAATTGGAATTGGACTGTTCAAATATATGGCAGACAGAAGAGAACAGTAAGCTTGCATATCCTCTTATTCCTTATTTTGAATGTTGACAACTATTGGTAGATCCTAGTGCTTGCCAATATTTCTTAGAGTTAGTATCAGCTTTTTCTAAACTCGACTGCTTACACCTAAATTTTCACGACACCTACGAAATCGCCGGAGCCGAACGACTGATCGCTTCATTGGCTTCTGAAATACAACTCAACAACCTAAGCAAACTCATACTTGGCCACCCAGTATGTGCAGAAAGGAGGGATATCATAATCTTCCTCAAAAGACACAAAGGTACCCTCAAGGAATTAACGATGGATGGAGTCACAATTTTGAGTGGTTCATGGATTCCGATTATTGAAACCATACGAGATTGTCTGAGTCTGGAATACATGAAGTTCGAAGAAAATGGAGTTTTCAACCCACTAAATCAGCTTGATGACGATATCTCCAACCATAATCCCGTTGACTTTCTGTGGCCTGGCAAAGAAAGGGCCGCCAAATCAGTTGGCCCTTTTCCTCACGTATTCTGTGCTCACGACGCTTCTCATGACGATCTATGTGAGGATCACGTCTCCTGTGGTGGGGGCTTTTGTTACGTCTCTCATTCCATTGGCGATGGATGGTTGCTGGATGAGGTGATAATGGAAAAGGGTTTCCAGCAGGCGTTGACAGATATGATTACGGGATACTGCGAACTAGAGCCTGAAAACCCTGATGAGCTTCTTTGAACCCGTTTGCTCTTGAAGCCCGAAGGCGGGAAATGGAAGGTCTCAGTGTAGCTAGGCCAAGAAACAAAGAAGACATTCCCATCAAATGCATGTGGACAGAGTCTGCACAGTTCATTGTTCATTGTAAATCATGAGTTGGTTAAGTGCAAGCATTCTCAGCGTCAGCGCCAAAACCCGGACCACAATCCCCTCCCCACCGCCGGTCTTGCCAAACTCATACACCACTCCCTTTGCAGATAGATGACTCGCCTACACTCGTGCCGCCAGCACGCCTGAGTTTTGACCTCCGCGGGCTCTCTTGTCTTTATACCCGACAACAGCCGCCGGCGCATGCATACCATAGGTAGACGGGCCGCGGGCATGCAGAATCGTAGGCTCTACTTATGAGCAGGGAAGTGCGGAATGTTGAGTTATCGAGTTGAAGCGGGACTGTCTGGCGTGACGTTCGTGTACAGAAGAGTGATGCCGGGCCGCTGGTTCGGCGTTTGTTTGGCAGTGTTTGGTGCAAAGCTCGGTTTGCGAAGGCTACGGAGTGCGGGTAGCTGGGGAGAGAGTGCGCATGTCACAGGAGGAGACAGGAGGTAGCGATATGGTTTTGTAATAATACTCAAACCTTCTTATTTAATCTCATAACTTGTCTTGTTTGCATGCGCGATGTCGAACTCAAGTAAGCTGCGTTTCCATGCGCCTGTGTTACGCCCATAAGCTCTGGAAGGTACTATGAGTCTATGTAATAGGCCCTTTGTGTAACGAGGCCTCTTCAGCCTAGGCGTTGGAATTGCCTAGCGGGTGAATAGGTTCGAAG